GCACTCGTGCCACACACACACACACACAAAAAATGCACTCGTGCCACACACACACAGAGATGCTGTGTGCGCTTGCGTAAAAAAAACAACAACCCACATTTGAAAAGGGGGGGACACAAACGGGATTGTCCCCAGTGGAAATTACGCCCATGAGTACATTTCGCTAAAGAGGTTGTTTTTGCAGTTTGATTGTTTTCAGAATTCAGGAGAAACTACTGGTGTTTTTAAAGAAACTTGGTGTACGGGTATAGCATGGTAACATATCCAAATCACAGGCCTGATACAACAACTATTCTTCACCTTTTATTAACATTGCAAAACACTCAATTTGGCCTTGGGAGAGGTCTGCCCTTCTAGTTGATTACTGTGGACTAACGCTGTGATTGCACACCAAAAAAAAAATGCTATGAATAAAATAATGACCTGACAAAATGGATAGTTTTAACCTAAAATAAAGTATCAAGTGCTCTTATCAGCAAGTGTGTATTAACCAGGAATAAGGGCTTTTAACTGAATGTGAATGCCACTTAATTTCTGTTTTTATTTATATTCTAAGGGTATGGACTGAAGAGTCACTCACGCACACACACGGGGGAGAAGCCGTACAGATGTCAAGAGCTGAACTGCTGCAAGTCCTTCAAAACCTCCGGAGACCTTCAGAAACACACACGGACTCACACAGGTACATCACCAAAGTCTGATATCATTGTATTACACCGTATGCTTAAAAAACCAAGTGTGTTTGAATGTTCTTTTATGGGTCAGGAGTTGCGTGTGGTTTAACTGCGGTTTGCTTTTGCTGCGAGCTGAAATAAAAAAACGTCTACCTTAAGGCTGTTTGTTTAACAAAGAAGCAACTGAGGGTTTGCAACTGAAGTTATGTTAAAACAAAGACAAGAGTCATGCACAGCTGTTTTATGAAAAAACATTGTGCTGGAGGAGTTTTCAGGCGAGCGATCATCATGAAAGCATGACTCCGAGGTTTTTTAATAACAGGATTGGTTGAAAGATAGACTGTTTGTTTTTTTTTAAACCCAACTCGCAGTCAATTTAAAATGGAATCTATTCCCCCTTTTTTCACTTAAATCCTGTAATTAAGCGACACGGTAACTAATGTTTTTAAATAGTTTAATTCACAATCCCCAACATCATATCTGCATCTCACAGCAGACATTGGAGCTAGCTACGTATTCAGACCTGAATATGGAGTGTGGACTGCTACTTGGAGAGGTCCCAGTTCACCTCCTGCCCTGCCGTGGTGCCCTTGAGCAAGGCACCGGACACCCCCCTTCCCCCCTCACTCCCATTGCTCCCCGGGTACTAGACTCCTGGTACTAGGATGGGTTAAATGCAGAGAACACATTTCACTGTGTGTGCTGTGTGCTCTGCATGTGAGACCATTAAAGAGGGTTTCATCCCTCCTAATTAAAAAAAAACATGGCTTGTAAAATAATCCAAATATAAACTGATTACTGTGGAAATAAAGGAAATCTTCATTTGCATAAAAGCATGAGTTTGGACACTTTAAATAGGGGATTTTTGACCTTGAAGTGCTTGAATTGTGCTCAAATGTTACTCTCAAAAAGCTGCAGATAACCTGTGTGCAGAATAAAAAAATGGTGGCTTAATCTCGGACATCCCATTTCTTGTGTGCAGGAGAGAAGCCTTTCAAATGTCCCATGGACGGCTGCGGCCGGTCGTTTACAACGTCCAACATCCGCAAAGTTCACATCCGAACGCACACCGGGGAGCGGCCGTACTACTGCTCCGAGCCCACCTGCGGACGCTCGTTCGCCAGCGCCACCAACTACAAAAACCACGTGAGGATACACACTGGTGAGTGTCTCTAACAACTTAAACACAAGTGTGCCAGTTGTATTTTTTTTAAAGGTCACCTATCATGCTATTTTTAGGCAATAGCATAGGTCTCAGATATATACAAATACATAAAAAACATGTCTATGAAGTGTTTTGCTCAAAATACCAAACAGATCACCCATTCTAGCTATGCCTCATATCCCTCTATTTCACTTCCTGTTTCAAAAGTGCTGATTTGGGGTATAAAACTAGCTTGATAAAAAATAAAAAAGGAGGGGCTGAGCTCATGCGGGACCCGGCAGCTACTGTCTAAACTAAATACTGCGGTGATGAAACGCCATATCATGGATTATCAAGGATTATCTCTGAAACAGTATGGAGCTCAAAGGCTTTCTCTCTTGCCGGTTATACCACAAGGTGAGTTCCTTTTTATTTCCTGCTTCTTCACACACATGCTCTCCAGTACAGGTTAGCTCTGAGTGTTAGCGATGCTAATGTAAACACCGACCATATTACGTCCAAAACAGTCGGGCATCGTTTCTGATAGCAACGTTTCTGATAGGGCCGTGGGTCCACATTTCCGATATTACGTCATATCGGACGCAAATCTGGATCAGCTCCGTTGTAGCCCCGTTTTTAGAGATTTGGGTACGGAGGAAAAGAGAGAGGGTTTCATTTTCTGACGCTGCGTGAGTTCCCCGACACACCGGGGACACACATTTATGTATAAAATACATCGAAAAATGCATTTTGCATGATAGGTCCCCTTTAAGGAGGCGTGTGGTGCAGTGGGTTGTGTGTTGGTTTTCGGATCAGGTGGTCACAGGTTCAAACCCCACCGCAATCAGCAATGTCGTTGTGTCCCTGAGACACTTCACCTCAAATTGCTCCTGTGGGGATTGCCCACAGTATTGAGTATGTAAGTCGCTCTGGATAAAAGCGTCTAACAAGTGACATGTAACGTTTAAATGCTATGAGAAAGAGTTTGAGTTCAGCCTGTACAAATGCATTCATATAAAAAAAGATCTTAACAAATAAAGGTTATAATTGTTTCTTCTTCCCCAGGAGAGAAACCTTACGTCTGCACAGTGCCTGGCTGTGAAAAGCGCTTCACAGAATACTCCAGCCTTTACAAACACCACGTGGTCCACACACCCTGCAAACCGTACAACTGCAACCACTGTGGGAAAACCTACAAGCAGATCTCCACCCTCGCCATGCACAAACGCACCGCTCACAACGACACGGAGCCCATCGAGGAGGAGCAGGAGGCCTACTTTGAACCCCCGACAGGTCAGTGGGAATGTAGCATTAGAGATCATTTACCTTATGAAGTATTTATTTTAACACAGAGTATTACATAAAAAAAACATTTAAAGACAAATACAGTTCTTTAAATGATCTTTTGGGTAGTTTCAAACAGAAATGACATTAGATCTAGATTGAATGTATTGTATTAATCCTTAATTTGGAAATTGTTTTGTTACACTATAAATAATAATAAACGGAATATCTTCAGGATTATGGCGGATCTCGGGCTGGAATAGAGGGATGTGAGGGATTTCTAAAATGCATGATCTGTTTGTATTTTGAGAAAAACACATCATAGACATGGTTTTTATATATTTGTATATATCTGAGACCCATAATATATGCCTAAACAGGGGTTTTAAAAAGTATTAAAAGTTGATTAATCAATTTAGCGAAAATTATTATATAATAATATATATATATATATATATATATATATATATATTATATAATAATATATATTATATTAAAAAGTATTAAACGGCATTTTCCAAGGTATTACATTTTGTAGCTTGTTTTCAATAAGTATATAAATTGTCCAAAGAGGTTGTATTCTACAGTCTGCCTGAATGTAATCATTGCGTAGGTGTGTAGTGTGATTCTGTGTAGTTTATTTATGCCATCCCGTTGGATTTGACGTCATCTGAACAGGACATCGCACGCTCACTGCTTGATAGCGCGCGAAGGTCCGTTTACGCCGGTTGTTAAACAACATCGTTATGGGGAAATGCAAGTCTGCGTCCAAATGGTTGGAAGATAAGGAGGAAGGACACTCAATACTGTATATAGTAAAGTGTGTCGCCAATGTAACCGGTTAAAACTCCAAGTGGCGATGAGGTCTTAAAATGTATGGAAAGGGTCTTAAAAAAGGTCTTAAAAGGTATTACATTTGACTTCAGGATTCCTGCATATACCCTGCTAAAAATAGCATGATAGGTGCACTTTAATACAACCCAAACCAATACAACTACAAGCCCCAGATAATGTGGGAGAACATGGCTGATAACAATTTAAAAACAACTTCAGTTTGAATTTGAAATAACCCCCTCAGGATCCAGTTTGAGGTTCATATCCAGAGATGTTCCCCATGTTTACCCCGAACAGAAAAGCTGTTTGTCTAAATGAACATTTACCTAAGGGCATTTTATAATTACCGTTAAGTTCTCCACGAGTTTCTGAGCCCGAAGCTCCGAGTGCAACCACAGTCGTCAACATAGACTTTTTCATCTCAAATTCATTGTGTTACTCTCGATTTAGATGCCATCGATGACCCGAACGTCAGCTACACCACGACGATTGTCGGGGCCGACGACTCCGGCTCGGAGCAGGTCCCGATTGAAAGCTCGGAGATGATTGGTCAGCAACACATTGCCTTGGTTACGCAGGAGGACGGAACACAGCAGCAGGTAACGGAATGCGATTTAAAATTCATGAAAGTTCCGGGGACTTAAAATGGCAACATTCCGTTCACATTCCATTAAATCTGTCAATCAAAAAAGGTATTAAGGCGGGAAAATATCTGTAATAAAACAAGATGTTTACACATAACTATGTTCTCTCTCCTCAGGTCAGTATCTCTGATGCAGATCTACAAGCTATGGGTGGAACGATCACCATGGTAACCCAAGAAGGCACCACCATTACCATCCCGGCACACGAACTGACGACGCAAGGTGCTCACTCGGTTACCATGGTGACGACAGACGGCTCGGAGGAACAGGTAAATTAGTGCAAAAATATTGTTAGAATGGAAAAACAAAATGTTATAAATAATTATATATTTTTTTTCTTTTTAATTATCTGAAATTAGCCAGACACGTTTACTTCTAAAAAAAACTAAAACTTTACCACAGACTTTTTGTTAGATATTCACCTCATGATGATTCACATTCACTGCTGTACCTCCATGATTGCTACAAATTGATTTTAATTCATTGATTTTCTTCATTTTGTAACATGAATATGAAGTGCCTAACTCTCATGGGTTCACCAGACTCCAAAAAAACATTTGACACTGCTCCAACATTTTATTTTATTAGAGAAATACCGGTTATTTTACCACTTGATCAAAAACCAAATAGTCTCCCCTTTTCTCTCAAGCTTTGCAAATAAAATCTTCAAAATAAAAAGTCATCCTCCTAAAGCACAACTCAAGTTATAGTCATCCAGCCAAATAAATCATGGAGGACAAGTACAATGTACCTAGCTAATGTCCAAAAGACAACCGTAGTATCAATTTTACTTGCCTCAAAAAGGAAAACAAGAACATAACATTTGACTTCACATTACGTTCGACACGGTTGCTATTCTTTATGAGACAAACACATTTGAATTGTTATTTACACCATTAATCTACACCTAATTTGTCTTTCTACATAACAATCATTTTGCTAATCCTAATCTCCTCAATACAACAAAGTCACTTGCTCTGGAAAATAATTATAATAATCATAATAAAGCTTTATTCATATAGCACTTTTCATACAACTCATGACGCTCAAAGTGCTTTACAAAATCACAAGTTAAAAACAAATAACAAGAAATTCCCCTTAGATTATTTTATTGTAAAATGCATGTTACAAATTGTTTAAATAGATTACCAGATGTGGTCATACAGCTGTTAGTTTCTAACCCAACACTAAAGCAGAGGATTGATTAGTGAACGTCTCTCTGTCGCCCTCAGGTGGCCATCATGACTCCGGACATGGCGGCGTTCCAGACGGTGGAGGACTCGGGATACAGTCAGGAGCACGAAGACATTCATCCCGTCACGTTACTGGCCACCTCCAACGGCACTCACATCGCTGTGCAGGTTGGTAGAGCGACTCCGTAGGAGGGAATGAATGGTGGGCTGAGTTCCAATCTGCAGAGGTGTGGACTCGAGTCACATGACTTGGACTCGAGTCTGACTCGAGTTACCAATTTGATGACTTTGGACTCGACTTGACAAAATCACAAAACACTTGCGACTCGACTTGGACTTGAACACCAATGACTCGGGACTTGACTTGAGCCTTCTGACTTGAGGTGACTTGATAATTTAATTCAGGGGTCTCCAACACACCGATCGCGAGCTGCCGCTAGAAGAGCAGACTCCCGTCGGGGAGAGCAGAATCTTCAGCCGCTGCAACTCTTGCTGAGAATCCATGCAGGCAGGGGCGGGACTTTATTTTGCTGAGCCACCATGCGGCCAATCATATGCGAGGACACACTAGGATCATACCATTATGTGAAAGAAGGGTGGGGGGCAGACGCTCCAAAGACAGCAGGTGTAGTGGTACAGGCCAGCTACACAGAGCGACGGGGAGACGGGTAGCCGGATTTAAATGCAAGCGCGTCGGAAAAAGTCAAGAAATTTGCGAAAAACCGAAAAAAGAAGCAGCTTCTGGCTGCATTTCAATGATATTGGAGAAAGCAAAGCTGAGTGCAGGATTTGTAAAATGAAAATAACCTTCAGAGCAGGGTTTTTTTTTTGGTAACCACTCAGGATTTATTGCCAGAGGTGGGAGAAGTTCAGATCTTGTACTTGAGTAAAAGTACCAGAGTGTAGGAATACTCGGTTACAATAAAAGATCCTGCATTCAAAATGTTACAAGTAAAAGTACAAAAGTATTAGCATCAAAATACAGTTAAAGTACCACCTGCAGAGGGATCTAGATTCAGGTGTTCTTTTCCCCATAGAGACGCCTCGCTGCACATTATCCCTTGCATAAAGATAGAAGTGGGTCCCTTATAACATGCTGTACACAGTGGAAATAAACATTCTGGTCACCTCAACATCAGGGATCTTATCCATTAAACTCCTTCTGAATCAAACCGTCACGGTAGCCTTACCTTACTGACCCCTCTTACAATAGAAGAAAACACGTTACTTTACCAGCAAGAGAAAAATGGATTATTAAATGATTAATGTGGACTAATAAAGAGCAGTGTGATTAGCGGAAGCGACTATAGAGCTATCAGCGAGAAGAGAAGAGAGAGAAGAGAGAAGAGCAGGAAGAGAGAAAGAAAGAGAGAGAGAAAAGGAGAGAGAGAAAGAGAGAGAGAGAGAGAGAGAGAGAAGAGAAAGAGAGAGAAGAGAGAGAGGAAAGAGAGAGAGGAGAGAGAGAGAGGAGAGAGAGAGAGAGAGAGAGAGAGAGAGAGAGAGAGAGAAAGAGAAGAGAGACAAAGAGAGAGAGAGATAAGATCTGAGAGGAACTATATCTTCGCTATCGGACCTACTATATCTCTCTATCTCTCTCCTCTCTCCTCTCTCTCTCCTCTCTCCCTCTTTCCTCTCTCCCTCTCTCCTCTCCTCTCTCTCTCTCCTGACAGCCTCGTCAGTTCTAATGCAGCTCACTGATCCAGTAATGAGTGACCCGACAGTGAAGAATACATATATTTATAACTAGTTTAGCTTGTTCCAGAGGTAGATAAAATAGCTAAGTGTGTTAGGTCTAACTCTTAGTGTGTGTTTTTCCGCTCACCGGTCCGTCACAGCGGGTGGAGCTGCAGGATTTCTGCTTCACACACGTTGCATACCGCTATTTTACTGCCAGACTGTGAAGCCATTTTGGGCGAGCTTGTTTTGCCGCGTACAGAGAAAAGTGTCATGTATTTTACGTCATGTGATCGGCTCTCACGATCGGCATTTATAGAGAGCACCGATCGATCGGCAGAGAGTGAATATCGGCCGATCGATCGGAGCATCCCTATTTATGATTATTTATCAAACATCTCACTGTGTAAATATGAGAAAGCATTAACAGTCAATCTTGTCACAATATCGAGGAGCTATATGACAAAACAATGTTGTGCATTTCTTAATATTATCAAGTTCTTCTTATGGCAAAGAGGGTATACAACAACCTAAATGTGAAAAGTATTAGATATATATTTAGTAGTAGCAGTATTTGATATATTCAGATCTGAGCAATGATCAAAACAATAAACAAAAACATTCCTTCACAAAGTATTTTCTTATAACCCCCCCCCCCCCCCAAAAACCCAACAAAAAGACACACTTCTGACCTGAGCTCCTACCATCAGGACATTAGAAAACAGAGCTTCTCACACCTACTAATTAACTACTCTAATTACAACTTGAATGTGTGACAGAGGACTACAGATCAACTTGTAACGGCTTGTGTATTTCTTTGATTAGCTGCTGCACTACTCATGCGGCTTTCACACCAGCGCTTTTCCCTTTCTAGCTCCTAGCGAGAGCTTTTCTGGTTCAGCTCCGGTTTCCCTTTTCAGCTCCCGCTCTGTTCACACTGCCCAGAGCTGCCGCTGCTGCGTCATGACGTCACCGTTTACGTCGCTGATTTTCTCCCACAACAACAACGGGCCGGGGACTGCGTTGCTTTTAATCATACGAAGCCAGATTAAATTAAATAACGACTTCTCCAACCTAATACTTTTCTCCAGAGTGCCGTGGTTCATTGTTTATTAATGTGTTTCAGCTGCATTTAGCGACCGCTGCAGTGCTGGCTGCTCTTCCACGGGAGTGTATTCTCCCGTTAGCTCCGGGTTAGCTCACACGGCTCTAAAGTATTCACTGTCTGACTGTCACACAAGCAGCTGTTACATATCCCCAGTTCCCCTTAAGTGAATGTGTGTCAGTCTGAATTGACGCTGTTTGGCATCACAACGCTGTTATGAAAGTTTCTCTGGTATAACATGGGTGATGTTAGCATAGCAACCGAAGCTAAACTGACTACTTGCTAAGCCGTTTTATACAGGCACTTTTTACCGGCGTATTTTTCATTATGATTCTACTTGTGATAGTCGGACATGACAACCTGTGCAGCCCATGTATTAATTCCATCCGATAGCTGCTATAATAACAAACAAAACGTCTGCCTGCTCTCCACAATGATCAATAACAGCGAAGGGATGGTCAAAGTAAGGTTTCCTGCACGCCTCGACGTAAGAGACGTAAGCGACGCCGCGTCATAGCTCCGAAGCTCTTGCCTCTGGACCGACAATTTTTTGGAGCTGGAAGTGAACCGCATCCCGGAGCTATGACGAGCCGCCGCTGCGGTGTGAACAGGAAAAACCGGCGCTTTTCAGGCTCTAGCTCCCAGCAGGAGCTGGAAAAGCGCCGGTGTGAAAGGGGCAAGGGAGGGGGGGGCAGGAGCTCCAGCAAGCCGTTTAGGACAGAGAGTGAATACACATACTTTACAGAGATGCTGTATGAGAAACCAATGTGAGTTTGGAAAATTGCACAATATACATTTATTTTAGTAGACCTCAACAATGGAAATATGATCAGTAGAAATGGCCATGACATGGGACCTTTAATTGAAACCGGTATGTTTTAAGGTTAGGAATATACTTTAATATTGCTTCTTTTTTTTTGTCATTCTCAGATCTCTTACTCACGAAAAGGTCAAAAGTCAAAACACATAAACCAGTATAATTTATGCTGGTTTAAAAAGAATAAAACTGGTGAATTTACGTTGAGTTATTTTGGTACAAAGTAATGGTGGTGTTGTTGTTGTAGTTACACTTTAGAGGTGATGATAAAGGCTTAAAAATACTGGATATTTTGGATGTACGTACCTTGAAAGTACTTAAATCTCACTCTTAAAAGTTTGTAAAGACCCTGTATTTACATATTGTGTTTAATACTATATTGGGTATTAAGGGATTAAACCCCCTATGATCACATCACAGGATGCTGGTCTCATGACCTTTATTCATCCTGAAAAACACTGTTTTCTTTCCACCCCCTTCTGCTCTTTTCTGTCATGTTAATTACAAAGCAAACTTTCTTTTTGTACCTTTTACCACGTGACGATTATCAGTGAGATTCAGCAGCTTGTAAAACAGTCACAGGAGGTGGTATTGAGTTTTCAAAGCGTATCAGAGTAAATCGGTGGCAGTGAGCGATTTAACAGGTTATCAACATGTCAATCACTGTTTGTATAACGTGTTTTGTTTCCCTCTTCTCTCTGCAGCTCAGCGATCAGCCCTCGCTGGAGGAAGCCATCAGGATAGCATCGAGAATACAGCAAGGAGAGGGGCTGGACGATTGATGCTCTCATTATGGACTATGATTTGGCATCAAACGTCTAAAATGGACTATATATTGACGAGAGAAATCACGTGTCTTCCTCCCATGTTTTGTTTTTTTGTCTTTCCACCAGAGGACTTAGCTTTTATGTGTACATAGGATTTTGATAACTGGAGCCCTGCTATGCTATTTTGTCCCTCGACCAAGGCGGGAGAGGGGAAAATGCTTTCTAATGTTTATGGTGCACAGTGCACAGCGACGTGTACAGCTAATGCTATTTCTAATTAAAGAGAAATTGTGTGGTTATATGACTGTACTTGATTTTAACAACTCCCGAGTTAAACGTACGAAACCATCGTTCCCACAGCACATACGGAAAATAAATATTACAAGCATGTATTTATAGGTTCAGTTAAGGATTACATGACACAACATTTCATTTATGAGTTTATCAATGGTATTGGGGTGCGTGACATTTGTAGTAGAGGTCAGAGTAACTGAATTCTGTCAAACAATTATATTTTTAAAAGGAATACCGGTAACTTTGCAGTATATCCAATGACAAATATGGTTAACAAAAAATACTGTTAAACTTCTACAATAGATGAGGAAAATATCCAGACTGATGTGTATATGCAATATGTGAATTTCACATCATAATTGAAGGCAAATATTGTACCACTAATTCATACAATAAGATGCTGTGTTGATAAAGACAACATATACAGGAAAAGTGGCTTTATCTCAAACGGCTTTAAAATTACGAATATATTATGTCAGGCATTCAAATCCTACATAAAACCTGTTATTATAGTATGTCACACTCTGAAAGGGGGCTTTCTCAATCAATTTTCTATTCATATGTTTACTTTACGATACAATTTGAAATATGTTTTTCTTGTAAATGAGTATATGATGGTTTTCCTACGTTTGCAGAACTTGAGATCAAAAAACTTTACCAACCTGAACATATATTATATGAATGTTTACTTGAGCAAAAGAAGCAAAAATCCTGCATTCAACATTTAATTTAAATATTTAAATGAAACTACTATTGAGGCAGACTTGTTACGTTCAGAAAGTTATATAATAAGAATATAATTGCAAGACTTGTACCAATATGTTGGTAAAGCTCCTTTTGAGTAAAATGAGTAGGCTACGGATGAGAGAAAATGACACACATGAATTACCAATTAAATCCATAAATACATGTATACATACAAAATAACTTAGAATATATAGATAAATAAATAAATACTGAGACAAAATATTAAATATGGAAACAAATGCATAAATAAAAACTTATTCGACCACTTATTTTTAACCACTCAGATCCATTTTATAATTATAATAAATGATGTGTTTTAGATCTATTGTGCCTTGTATAAACTGATCAGACGTTTTTTTTTATTCAGATTGAACTTTGCCCTTTGTATTTATCGCGGCTCCATTGATCATGCGGTCTGAATAAAAGACGCATTGTCTTGAGGTTCATTTTGATTGTTGACTCCTGCAGAGACTTGAGAGGCAACGCGGCGTTTCGCGCCATTACGCTGCTGTTCTACCGGTGACGTAACCCTTCCCGAGACCTCTCTGGAACGCCCATCTTTCAAATATCCGAGGAGCTCTCTGATTGGCCGCTGCGGAGCATGTGACCAACGGTCGCGGGAAGTCCTTTGCCACGCGCGTGATGGGAAGAGCCGCCTAGTTCTTCTTGACTCATTCAAACTTTTTTTCTGTCAACATTGAATTGGTTTTATTGTGGAAAGACCTGTTTCTGTGTCCGCGAGACATCGAGAAGTGACGGATACCGATACCCGACTTGACCGGGTAGTTTCAGTTTGTTTTTACTTTCTTCGGGACGGTGACTACTAGCTAGCCGACTCCATTTCTCGTAGTTGGAGGGGCGTGTTGGAGTTAGCAAACAAGCTAACTTTTCCTGGGATGCTAACGGACTTTTAAAGTATTAACGGTCGCTTTCGAACACGTTTTTTTCCACTCGATACCTTTACATTAAGGTAGTTGGAAGTTCACTGTGTGTTTTGGCTACTTAAACAGTAGCGGGGGTTCAACCGGGGGATTTTCCCGTCGACGTCGCCGGGGTTTAAATCCTGAAAATAAAAATGTCGAGCTACACTCGCCATCGGCACGGATCTCCGGCTCCTAAAACTGTGCCAATCCGACAGAAACTACAGTTTACCTCCAGCGATGGGGAGGATGAGTCCATAGAGGACGTAAACAACAGCACCGGGGGGGAGTCCGGCTTCACGGAGATGGATTCCCCGATGCCAGTGCGACGGGACACGGTGGATAAGCGCCTGGAGGGCAGCAGCAGCCCCCTGAACCAGTCCTGCGGGGACGACGACGTGGAGCTGTGGGACGAGGAGAGCTTCGGTTCCCCCTCTCACCTCCGGTCCCCGAGCAGCGTGATCTTCGCCCACTGCTCCCCGTCTCCCAGGAAGTCCTCCCGGCTGTACGGAGGCTCCCCGGACCGGTCATACGTGCAGGACGACGGGGAAGCGTCCAGCTCTCCGATCCCAGACTGCCCCGACACACCTCCACACAAAACCTTCAGAAAACTCAGACTCTTTGACACTCCGCACACACCAAAGGTAGTGTTTCGTATACTGTAATAACACTAGTTTTCTTATAAATGTATATCTAAGTGAGTGGTCTTTTAGATGCAGAAATAAGGCAAGTTTCAGAGAGACAGTTTGGTTTTGATTTTGAAAACTACAACAGCCTTATGGTGTTGGAAGAGCTCTTATATAAGTCCTTGCATTTGACTTGCAATGTGTGTAAAAGGCCTGTTATTGATTACATAGTAAGTGGTTTAGTTAAGATTATTAAGAAATCACTTAAATGTTAGCATTTGACACCCTTTGAACCTTTTTAGGTTAAGTTATGATCTTGCATAACACCTCTAAACAGCATTTAGAGTGCATGTTATCCTCTAAATGTGTTTGCACATTGAATATCTTGCTTCTGGATCATGCCATGTGTTGAACACGAAAGGGAATCAGTGGAAAAACAAGCAAAACAACTCTTATGCAAACAGACCTGGTCTTTTTTTTGAATTCCTTAGGATGCTTGAATTTGAATTACAACACGTGTTCAAAGCCTGTTATTGATAAACTAATATTTACAACTTTAATGTTTGCATTTGACACACTTTTAACCTTTTCAGGCAAGTTATGTCAGCTTACACAAGCATTTTAGAGTGACATTTCTCCTCTTAGTGTGTTTGCATGTTGATTTGGCTGCTAGATCATGTCATGTGTTAAATGGGATAGAAAAACAAGCAAAACAAATCTTACACAAACAAACCAGGTCAGTTATTTTTTTTGAATTCCTTGGGATACTTGTGCTATGTGGTTCACCAGTTAATGTGTAACTGAGCTCTTGCATAATGCTCCCTCTGTACTCTGCCAGATCATTTGGTGACATGGAGTTTTTAGCCTGGACATGTTTTTCTTCCTGATTACGCAACATTTACATTTTAAGCACCACATGTACTACTACTTATTTCAGAACCACCAAACATAAACTGTCAACCAGGATTATGTAACACTTTCCCCCAGTTTTTTCTGACCCTTTCTAATGCATACACATAACCAGTTGCTTCAGGGAACACAACATTAGCTACAAGTACATTTACCAAAAATCAAGTAGGAATATGAACTCCCTTTTACCGTTTTCCCCTAATATACAACACACACTTCGACCTAGCTTCACAAGACTTCCTTTTACAAAAGTTTGAATATGTATATCTGCTGTTTTCCTCTCCCCTGCTCTTGAAGTAATTATCAAAGCACTAAATCTGTCTGTCTCTTTTTAATTTGTTTGCAGAGTTTGCTTTCCAAAGCTAGGAGCGCCGGGTCGGGGTCGTCCAGCCGGAGAGTCGCCCTGTTCAAGAATGTGGAGCCTTCAGGAAAGTCTCTCTCCGACAGCAGCAGGAGACAGCAGACGCCTCTGGTCAACTTTAACCCTTTCACCCCTGACTCCCTGCTCATACAGTCTGCCACACAGCAGAGGAACAGGAAGAGAGCGCACTGGAATGAGTGAGTTTTGTTAGAAAATACCTTTCGACTTTAGAGGGACGTGTATCACAAAACACAGCTCGGCTCTTATAGGGGCTGGAAATCATTAACTACGTGCCTGACTTGGAGTTTTAAATAAATTCCATGTTATAGAATGCTAGGTGTACTAACAAACAGGAAATGCACTTTTAAAAGTTTGTTGTTATGCTTTAATGGGCCACTCTTCTTTAAAATACTGCCATGAAGCATAGTTTTGGAGGTTAAAAGCACTTTAACACACAGTAAAAGTTAATGGGGAAGTGCAATAATAAGTGTAACTAATGTACTGTTTATAAAAAAGTAATTTACCACGTGTTTAGATGCGTTTAAAGCTTGCAAATGCACGTTGAAATGCTTAAAATATGCATGATTTTGACTTAAGCAAAGGTGTAACAAACCCATATGACAAACTGATTGTAGTTTTTTTTTTTTTTTTTTCAAATGGCTGGGGGGAGTTGACCAGCTGCAGTCCATAATATTTTGGTTTCACATTTCCTGGTTGTTTTTGGTTAAATAACTATTATTTACAGTTTCAGTGAAACCTGTTGACGTCGAGCTGAACCCGTTTACCGTATTATCTGCTTCTCAGATCCACGCCATTGTTATAACCAGATACGTTAGAGCCGTTATGAGGCCAGGGGGGTTTGGCTGGAAATCAAGACCTCATGGTTACTGCTCAACTCGCCATGTGCTCCTGAAGCCCCCACCCCACCCCCCTCACTGCTGCCCCCTGCTGGAATGAATGCTAACAACACCTCCATTGTCTTTTATCTTTCAGCTCCTGTGGAGAAGACATGGAGGCGAGCGACGGAGAGGGAGAGGAGGAATTAGTGCCACCATCAAAGGCAATTATTCCTTATAATTAAGGATTTACAGACTGAAAACGTATCTTTTTGCCACTGGATTTTGGAAAATAGCTGGAAATAAGGTCTGTGTTTGAAACACATTGAAGAGACGGATCACGTTTGGTTCAGCAGTGACCCCACTGGTGATTTCTGAAGAGTTGACATGTCTGAAAAACGATGGTTGTTACCAAGTGGCTGAATAGGACTACAGAAGGTGTCGAGGCCGTTGTACGTCATTACGCCGAACACGTAAACACTCCTCTAAGTTTGTTTGCCCTGTTCTGCTTGAAAGCAAGTACCTGCCTCCTGCTAACTGTTAAAACAAACGCTTCAACATGGACCATTTTGAGTGTAGTTTTGAATAATAATAATAAGTTGGTGT